CAGCTCAAACACACTACAAACCTATCTTTCCCAACAGCACAGAATAGGAAACACACATCACTTGCAGTTTCTGCCCTCTCTCTGCTTTAAATGATTAAAGTTTTCCAGCCTTATGGGCCCAATTCGTCTCTGTTAGCCAAACCAGATAAGTAAAATATTCACATGTGCTGCTGTTTTCTGATATCATGGGGAATAGGGAGAGGAGTAAAATAAAATGCATGTTCAATTGCTTTCAGGATTGGTGGCATATCCTCTTAGCTGTCTCTCCGAAACCTGATTTGTTTTATGTAGGGGGAAGGATTTCTATTGACATACCATTCTGCCCCCCCCCCCGCAACCTATGCTTGAAGTAAAATATTCACATGTGCTGCTGTTTTCTGATATCATGGGGAATAGGGAGAGGAGTAAAATAAAATGCATGTTCAATTGCTTTCAGGATTGGTGGCATATCCTCTTAGCTGTCTCTCCGAAACCTGATTTGTTTTATGTAGGGGGAAGGATTTCTATTGACATACCATTCTGCCCCCCCCCCCGCAACCTATGCTTGAATTTATGGATGGGTTTGAACATGTTTATGAGTTCTCAGTAGGCATCCTTCAGTCTCGAAAGACTATGGTAGCGTGCTCTGTATGGAGGACTTGGAACAGCGTCTAGTGTGGCTGAGGAGGCCAATTCGAGAGTTACAATCTCTTCCACACTGAAGACAAATCCAATCTGTCCCCTGTCCAGCTCCCTGGTTTTGCTTCCTTTGTGACTTCCTCTTTGCCTCGGCCTGCTGGACAAGGGTCTCTTCAAATTGGGAGAGGCCGTGATGTACCGCCTGCCTCCAGGCTGAACGATCAGATGTCAGAGTTTCCCATCTGTTGAGGTCTATTCCTAAGGCCTTCAGATCCCGCTTGCAGATATCCTTGTATCGCAGCTGTGGTCTCCCTCTGGGGATTGGTGGCATATCCTCTTAGCTGTCTCTCTGAAACCTGATTTGTTCTATGCAGGGGGAAGGATTTCTATTGACATGCCATCCCCCCCACCCCCGCAACCTATGCTTTAATTTATGGATGTGTTTGAACATGTTTATGAGTAATCTGGTGAGAAAGGCCAGATTACTCATAAGCATGTTTGAATGTGTTTATGGCTTCAAATGTAGGTCGCAGAGAAACCATGCAATATCATAGAAATCCTTCCCCTAGTTATATGCTGATAAGGCAGAGGGCATCCATCACTAGAAAAGATGTTGACTCCATATCTAGAATCAGTGCACCTTCAAAAGAAAAGGACTTGGTATTTATTCTGATACGTATTTGCTTCAATCTATTTATGGTAAATTAACTTGCTTTTATTTATAATTGGTCAACTGAGGGATATAATGCCTTTTTAATATATGCCTGATATTTCTGCAGCACTTAATCGTTTGCATGCCAAGAAGGACAACATTGAAGAAATATACATTCACCTTAATGTTGTTCCATTGGATTAATCCACTGGGTCTATTGGATTAAAATGTCTTCTGAATGATATTCTTTTGGTTTTAGGGCTCATGGACATTCATACATGTGAGTGCTGAAGAGGTTATAGATACCAAAGTTCTATTCCATATCTTTTCTGGGCACTATAATGCTTCATTATATAATGCATATATAATGCATCTAGAGTCTGATTACTCTGTTCATTTGGAACAAACTTATACAAAGCTTCAATCAGTGACATTCTGGTTAGCAAAAATAGAAAACTTCATAGCAGATGGATGAAATGCATTGTAAGGAATTACTGTACCTGTATTTCCAGCTATGCAGTGAGTACTGTAGATTTTCTGAATCCTTAACACTTACCTATACTAATTGTATCGCATCTGTCTCTTTTAAAAATGCTCTGGGGTAGGCAGAAAAGCAAAGTAAATTCAGAGCAATAAGGAGAATGTATGTAATAGGAAGAAAGAGACATAGCAGGAATAAAAATACACTTTCACAACCACATTTCAGAATTGCATAGATAAAAGGCAACTGCAGATGACTTGCAAAGCATAGAGCTTGCTTACAAATTCAGTCCTTAGACTGACTTTTAACCATGCTATAAAGCATGATGTTTTCAGAAATCTGACAGGTGGGAGGGACTTAAATGTTCATACTTTTGAGTAACTTTAAATTTTTTGAAGTGAAATAAAGGGTACATTATGGCAAAGACTGGAAAAAGAACATGTTTGATATGTTCCCTTTAATTTGGAAAAAATTAATTAGGAATTAGATCTAAAAATATAATGTTTCATTTCCAGTATTTCTTTTAAGATGGGCATTGCTTTACGATTTGCCTCGTCCGGTACTGTTCCATTTCTGAGACCAGAATTCTGTTGGTGATTTACATGTGCATAACTTTTGCAGCAAATGTCACTGCAACAAATGTCCACTAACTAATTAGATGTTGGTTGTATTATGTATTTATTTATTTATTATTTCAATATATTGTCCCCTAGTACAGTGCATTGCTAAGCATGTAGTGCAATCAGATATGTGCCTGTTAATGTGACTGGTACCTCGTTAGTTTGTTATTTATTTACACATAAATCACCAAACTAAACTAGTGTAAGTGCAGGAATAAATTACTGCTAGTTAATGATTTGCCAGTTGCATCTCTCCTTGCAGTCATGTAAGTTGCATGATGAAGAATGCAAGTGGCAGCTTGTTAACCAGCAAGGTACTGCTATAATTTGTTCCCTTACATCTGCTGGTGTAACATACCAGCAGGATTCTGGCCTATAAATCTGAAACTGAAACTAACATGACTAGCCCATTGTTCTGATTTGCCAAGGAAATGGCAGCAAGGTGTTTTGAAGGCAGAAATTCTTCTCAGATTTGATTAGGGGACACTCTCACTCTGTCACTTCGAGTATCCCTGGTATTAATTAATTATGAATCCAGTTGTCTCTTCCCACTGAAGCATACTATATTTACAGTGCTTTTATGCTCAGAAGTCCCCCTGAGTGCAATGGAGCTTGCTCCTAGCACAGGTAAAGAAAGTTAATTTTTGGATGTCAGCTTACAAAATCTGGGAGCCTGGGAATTGTAGTCTGAAAAAGCAATTGACTCCTATCTACGTAAGTGGGTGTAGGATTGCTGCTGCAAAGAGTTTGGATATTTGAAATTACTTTGGATATTTGAAACCTACATTGTCAGTTTCATAACGAGTCTTGGAAACCTGGGTGGGGGCAGATTTTGCTACCCCTGTTTTGATACCGTTTTTGTTAGCATTAACTGTTGCTAGCAGTGATGCAAACAAAAATCTATGGTTATCGTGATGACAGGATAGAAGAAATTAACATAGGGCAGGGAAGACAAATTGAGAGGAAGCATTAAATCTGCAACAGACCTTTGCTTTGTGTGCACTGTTGAAGAAAGTGGCCAGGAGAAGCAGAGTTGATTGCTCAGCCTTATGTTGAATATGCTAACATGCATGTTTTTTCATTTGTATAGCTTGGAAGAATTCTATGTGATTACTTAATTTGCCAACATTCTCTTCTGTAGAGTTTCACCCATACAAACTTATGATGTCCTTAGCCATGGGCCTTTAGCACTTATTAAAAGTTTCCTATTCCACCATCCTCCAGTTTCAAGGCTCCCTTGGGACCCTCTCTGACCTTTAAAAGCCTTTGGGAGCCTGGGGGAGAGAGAGAGGTGGAACAGGAAATTTTTAATGAGGGATAAAAGACAGCAGCCAATGATAGCATAGGCTTGTGCGGGCAGAAGGATTTGGGTCCTTATTTTGTAACTGTCTTAACTATACTCATTGAACTACAACTCCTAAAGTGCTTGTGTTTGGCTGAGGCCATTACAGTGGTGCCTCACTTTATGACATTAATTCATTCCAGCGAAATTGCTGTAGAGCGAAAACGTTGTAAAGCGAAATTAAAAAGCCCATTGAGATGCATTGAAACCCGTTCACTGCATTCTAATGGGCTGAAAACTCACCATCCAGCGAAGATCCTTCACGGGGGCAGCCATTTTCGGTGCCTGTGCAGTGAGGAATCCATCCCTAAGCACAGCGGGGGGCCATTTTGAAACCCGACAATCAGCTGTTTTTGATCTTCGTAAAGCGAAAATCGGTTCCCGAAGCAGGGAACCAATAATCACAAAGCGGAAAACCCCCATTCAAACCATTGTTTTGCGCTCGCAAAAGCGATCGCAAAAACCACACAGTCAAGCGGATTTGTTGTTAAACGGGGTAATCGTAAAGCGGGGCACAACTGTACAGATAAATGGGGGTAATCGTAAAGCGGGGCACGACTGTGCAGATAAATTATATGCAGTGTTTGTAATGTGGATGGATCCCTCTTTAAGAAAGTCTTCTGTTGGTCCATTTATAATTGGTGTGTGCTCCTTAAAATTAATTCAACAGAAAAGTGATGATAGAAATTAACTATATGCATGCTTACTGGAGGCCTGGTTTATGCAGCTTTATGCTTCCTGTTCTTTTGTCTGTTTCAAATCAAACAGAAATGGATTACTGTGTACTAGGTGGGTTTCTGGATTTCCATATATGTCTTCAGTGGGATTCTTTCGAACTCTGCAAATTAACTATATGCATGCTTACTGGAGGCCTGGTTTATGCAGCTTTATGCTTCCTGTTCTTTTGTCTGTTTCAAATCAAACAGAAATGGATAACTATGGACTAGGTGGGTTGTTTCTGGATTTCCATGTATGTCTTCAGTGGGATTCTTTCGAACTCTGCATAAGTCTTGCTGTAGAACATTGGAGTTCTCCGTTAGAGCTCAGCCTTTTAGGAGTGAAACAGACAAAAAGTTCTCTAAGTATGGAACTGCACCTCCTCCGCCCCCCCCAAAAAACTAGCAAAAACAATAGATGTTTGTGGCCAACAACCCTTTTCTCTAATTTGAACAGGAATGCTTCTGAAATGTTAACTCTCACTGATGCGTGTGCTTTTCTGTCTTCTTTTCCCCTCCCTTCTTGTCTCATACTTTAAAAAATTATCACTATTGCTGGCAATCAACAAAGGAAACCACTGAGAAAAGAAGAGAATGGAACAAGTCAAGCTGAGTATGCAATGACCTCCGCCCAGAACAACAAGACAGTTGAGGCTAACAATGCCGTGGTATAATTTCCGAGACCTCCCTTGAGTAGTAAATATTAAAAGCACATGCAGCATATGCAAGGTGGGTGAAATACAGCAACAAAAGGAGCTCTGTGGCCGAAGACTTCATTTCAGAAATAGCGCACGCATCAGTTAATCCGAGAAGAGAAGCAGATGACTCCTCTTTGGCTTGCTGATTGTCACAAAGGGAGGGATAAAGTTGCCAGTTAGGGCTACTCTGAGAAAAAAACCCGCTACTAAAGGCATATTCTCTACATGCCACACCCATGGAAAGCAACATTGTAATGCATCCAGATTTATTGATCTTTCTTCCTTCTTTTCTCCCTCCCTCCCTCGGTTTGATTGATGGTGGCTTTTTAAAAATGCTTCAGTATGAATCCTTTGATGAGGAGGATGATTTGGCCAAGACAGCACCAGTACTGTAGTTGGTCTGAAGAATTCAAGCCTTACTAGCATGGCTTTGCATTTTCATTTTTTTCATTCCCAGAGCACAGCCATTTCCAAGCTTTATCACAATGACATGGTTAAAGTAAGAAAGCTTCCATTGACACAAAGGCAGGCTTCCCCCTCTCTCACATTGCACGATCTCATGAGATAGTACACCTACAGCCTTGTGACTGCAATTTCCATGCCTGGAGACTTTTTCATATAGAGTAGTCACTATAAGATCTGTAGTGATGTAAGATCGGCCAGTCAAAGAAAAAAAAATACTAATGATAGTAACGTTTAAAGGTGCTTTGAATACTCTTCATCCAGTTATATTTCCCTTTTTAATCACCATATAGTATTTTTGCCCTAGATATAAAAACTCATTTATTTATGCTCCTTTGTTTCAATTCTGCACAATTTTGCACATGGATTTACACAATATAGATGAGTAGAGAGGATCTCTTTAGAATGGCTTTAAAAGATTTGGGTATGAATGTTGGGGAAGACAAGCTACAGTATCAATTGCAGTCCTCCTTATGCTCTTTTCAAGCTCAGATTTCCTGAAACTTTCTGCTTTCTGGTTTCTTCAAGAGACTTCTTAAATGAGGGACTCTCCACTTGAAGGAGAAAGCTGTGATAGCTCTCTTGACAAGGGACTGCCAACTGTGCCAAATTGTATGTGATAGTTATGTGCTGTACCACTTTGTGATAAGGACTAAAAAACCTGTTATCCCATTTCCACTTGGTACCCTATTAGGCTCTGTCACGTTAATTTTTAAAAAGTCAATGTCCAGCCATCTTTGTTTGCCCTCACCTGAATTAAGATATTAGAAACATTCCTGTCTTTTCCCTTCCTATGCCTTTGTCTGTCACTGTTACAAGAGTTGCACCAGCAGAAAAGAAAAAGAAAAATGTGCCCATTTCCAGCATCTTGTCTTGATGTCAAGTTTCAGTGAGATTTCGTCTTTGTGTATTCAAGCAATTTGAAAGAAGCTGTCGCAGTGCCATCGGGTAGAACCACAATCTTGTCAATAATAGCCTGTTAGAGCCTAAAAGCTGTTGTTTCAATTCATTTTGTCATATGAATGGGCCCAGTCTACAAAACCTATGTTGACTCTCCAAAGAATTGAATGATAATCTGTCTATGGCCATGTATGCCTGAGATGCATGTGTATGGAGATGTTCGATCCTGTTGGCAAAGGAGGAACATGGGGCACTCTTGTAAGAAGATTAACGCTGCCCCTGGGTAAGGTGATGAGACTGTAATGTCAAATGTGAATTTTCAAGTGTCCAGTTGTTCAGCATGTGGATAAAACAATTGTGAAATCTGGAGACTTGAGAGTTTCATCGCTCATTTTTCACTAGGAAATTCAATATATACAACAGTAGGGAAGGAGGCTGAGTGCTAGTATATCTCCTCTCCAGTAACACAGGTCTGTCATGTATATCTTTATGTAGAGTCTTATTCACATTGTACTCTTTCTGGATATACTGCTTAGAATTTTAAAAAAAAGTGGTAACGAAAGAGGTTGGCAAATGGATGTCTCCTTTTACCTGTTATTATCACATGTAAAAGGAATTTTTGACTAGGTTTGGGATTCTGTCCTTCATGAAAGTCTTCAGGTGTTCAAATACATATTTTTAAAATCATATTTTTATAACTATAGTAGTAGAATATGTATAAATATGTGTGTTCTGTAATAGGGGGAAAAAGAAGTTACTATTCGCTTTGAACAGAGAAATCCACAGACTTTAAAAGTCCAATCATTTCCTTGTCTGACCTTTCTTCCCTATCTAGAAATATAGGCAGGAAGAATTTTTACAACCCTTCAAATGTCAAGATTTGCTGAAGGTAGACTTTTTAGAAAATATTGTTGACTCTTCTCAGAGAACGCATATCCTTTCTTTCCCATCACTTAAGTGCAAGAGTGCTCTCTGCATTTACTGAGAGGAGATTGTTTGGGTTCTTGAAACACAGAGTTGCTAAAAATTAATTGCCATTTTTGACATAAGCCATGTCAACCAAGATACTTTAAAAGGACTCCATTGTAGTTTATATTTAGAACTGCATTTTCCCTCTCAGTGCTGTAAATAGTGTTTCCCAGTTTTTTTAAAAAAAATTACACTGAGAATTTATTTTGATGTTATCATTTCCTCCAGGTGATTTCTGGTTTTGTGGGTGGCACATACACTCAGATAGAAAACATTAGTTTTTTTAAACTACATTTCGCAGAATCCCTTAGCCAGCATGGCTGGGGTGTTGTGAGAGTTATAATTTGAAAAACTAATTTTCCAAGTGCTGTGTTGATCACATGGTCTGCTTGCAAAAGGACCTGAGAACAAATGCCTCCCAGTCTATATACCAGAAAGACTTATATACTGAAATCCTGGAGAGCTGATGTCAGTTAGAGTAGATGGTATAGGTCTAGAATGGAAATTGTATGACCTGGTATAATGGAGCTTCCTGTTCTGGCCCAGCAAGCAAACCATGAGTAGTAAAAGGCTATTTTATAACATGGGCATCAGTCAGTCCTTAAGCTACAAATGTAAACCTATGTACTTTAGAATCAGTTTCATGGATATTTTCAGGTTCCAGTAAAAGTGACTGAGAATTAGCTTTTTACTACAAATTATTCAAAATATGCACCACGTTTTCTTAGAAATTCGATATTTGCGAATTAGATTATGCAGAACTTGATGCTTTCTGTGGCGGTTGCTGTTTATAAGTTGTCTCTATCATTACCCAAAAAGGTAACATTTCCCATCTCTGGGTGCAATCATTAGATTATTTTCTAAAAGGTGTAGTTTTCAATTTCTTGGGACATCCATCTCTAGTGCCTCCCAGAGGGATTAAAGCTACAATTCTCACCCCTTGAGTCACTATGGATGTGCTGCCTGGGGTGATGTGAATTCTAGTCCAACACATATGGTGTTCATAGGTTTGAGAAATACTGTATTGTATGCACACTTATTATGCATAACAAGTCATATGAAGGGGTCAACTAATGTTCATCTGTGTCAGAAAGGTCAGGGTTACATGGTCCCAATGTGAAGGTCATATCTGGCCCTTAATTTGTTCTCTTAATTACTTTGGTTAGCAAAAGGCAAGGCAGTCTTGATGTCTCCCATGCAACATTAGGAAAAGTCTTATACTGGAGCAGATAAGCTTCTCTTTTTCATAAGTGACCTTTTCAGTTGAAGGTCTCAAGGCTTGGCCTTGGGTCTTTCTGTGTGCAGAACATCTGCTGTACCACTGAGCTGTTCTCATATTAACCACAGCAAAAATCCCCTCTGTCAGTTGCCTACAAGCCAGAGTAGTCAATTTCTGGCCCTCTGAGGTTGATGGATTACAATTTCTAGCATTTCTACTCAGCATGTCATGACAGATGGTAGAAGTCTCCCTTGTGGAAATAAAATCACTCCTGATTTAAGCTTATAGGAATCTCAGGCAGCATACATAGAAGGGAAACTTGGAAATCATTCTCAATTTGGCACTTACGCAGCCAAATACGTTGGCTGTTATTTCCTTCAATAAAAGGAGAATGTTGTAAAGCAATGATTCCCAACCATGGGTCCCTAGATGTTCTTGGACTTGCAACTTCCAGAAATCCTGGCCAGTACAGCTTAGTGGTGAAGGCTTCTGGGAGTTTTAGTCCAAAAACGTCTGGGCACCCAATGTTGGGAATCATTATTATGGATTCCTGTGAAACTGCCACCTTGTCATTGGTTGTCTACAGATGCAGCATCTATCTATAGTGTCCACGTTCCAAGTAATTCATTATTACTCAAAATGCCTCTGGAGAGACAGATGGTCTTATGTGTTTAACCTTGCCTTGAAAGCACCTTGAAGTTTTTAAAAAAGGCATTCTAATATTATGTATTGTGTCGTAAATATTTGTAATGAACCCTGTCCTGCTGCATAGTAGCTTATGGGCTAAGCTGAGGAATCTTTAGCCCTACAGGCAGCATGAACAGTGATACCAGGTTGTGGAAGCCATAGTTAAAAAGATGGGAAAAGTCAATTATTTCTTACCCTTAAGATAAAAAAAATTCTTTTTATTTGTATTATTGTCCTTATTATCACAGCGTTTATTCAATATAAGCTGCTAAGCATACAAACTACTGGGCGCCTTTAAATTGTTTGAAATTCCATTCTGATTTTATTCTGTCTTCTCAAACAACAAACCTCAGAGAAACATTAGACAATGACACCTGTTCCTATTTTGCTGGGATTTTTGAAGACTCTGCTTCTGGAATGCATGGGATACTTCTATTTCTCTTAGTCTCTTAGGCGTGTCCTCACAAGCATCTATACAAAAATATATCTTACAGTGTGTATTGCTGAGCATGCACAGTAGCTTATAAAACCAGGTAGGGCAAGGATCCTAGTCTAGATGTGAGGGTCATATAATAATTTTCCACTGACAATTGACTTAGAGCTTGGGAAAGTTACTCTGCTTCTATAATTCCATAGCCAGCATAGTTGATAGCATCTGAGAACTGTAGTCCCCCAAAATAACTGTAATTCCCCAAAAGTTTGAACACTTATTGAAATATGCACTTTGACAGGAATCTTGTTTCAAATAATAAATTGTCAGTAAAAGCTAGAGTAGCAAATATGGTGTAGCCCTAAATACATTGTATCCTAACATCAGCCTAAAATTTTACCTACCACTAAGGGAAACTGCATGGTTAATAGGAGCAGACCTGCAATGCGTGCGATGCCATTTTGAGCAAAGCCGCTGAAGCCGCTGTCAGTTGCTTCTCAAAAAGAGTCCAGAGCTTGAAAGGGT